GTCGGTGTCTGTATAGTGGACTGCACAGTTTCTCAGTACACCTGGATACCACGCTTCGAGGCAGAGTAGACTTACACTCTTTGGTGTCACCCTCCCGCTCTTGGCGCGCGGTCTTCATCTCAAGAAGCTCCTTCGGGACTAATCACAAAGTGAGAACCATATTTTCCTCGATCCTGAAATCAAAATACGTACATTCAAACTTTGCATCGGCAACCCGCGTCTCCATCGCCACGCCCTGGAAAAATCCGACCGAGTAACGCGTCCCTTGCGTCGGCGACACCACGCGGTGCATGGGGGCCTTCACCAGCCTATGCGTGACCTTTTCCAACACTGCGCAAGAAACCGTGTTAAATCGCGCAGAAACACAAATCTTCTCGCACCTCTTCCAACAAGGACTAAGAATGTTCCTGGGATAGGCGGAGCGGCGAACCACTCTCCGGAGGGCTTCTGAATCTCGAGTCCCGGTTCATTGGACGGTTGCAGCAGCTGGAGACCCACAAGAATATTAGTGCTCCAACCGGATAACAACCCTCTGCGCACTCACATATGTCAGGAAGTTCGAGTCGGTGTGCGGTAAGAACCCAGTCGTGGACGGAGGACAGGTGGGGTAGCGCAGAATCTTGCAGCGCCACTGGCGCTTGGAGACGTCAGCCTCAAACAGCGGCTCAAACGCATCTGGTGCGAGACCCAGCGCCTCCGCGGCATGGCCCGTAAATTGGAGGCTCAGGTTTTTGAGATGCGTGTAATACTCGGCCATGGCCGCACGGCACCCTGGAAATAAAGCGTCGTCTGGCCACTAGGAGCCGCAATCAGCTGTGACAAGAAATGATCCAATGTAAGTGCACTCACAGGCGTGCTTCCGTGAATCTTGTGGTACTCTGGCGTGCCCTCCTCATGGGACACACTCTCGTCGCCATAATTAAATTGCTCGCGCGTGGGGTTTTCGGCGCTGCCTCTGCGCAGGTACCCATTAAAATGCGCGGAGACGTTCATGTCGACTGCGTCCTTCACATCGGCCGGCAGCGCAAAGAACTTGGCGGTGGAGTCGACCATCTTGTCGACGACCTCCGTGGGCACGGGGGTCTGCGCCATGTAGACAAACCCGTCGTTAATCAGCATATCGCGCAGCTGCGCGATGAACGCGGGCTTGTCCCGCTGCGCGAGGGTCAAGTCAAGGAGTCGGATCTCTGGATGGGCGAGCGACATGGTGGGGGTTGGTGGACAAGGATGACGCGATGATGTCTCTCTCTTATTACTGTTATCTGATTCCAATTGTGAGCATCTTGTTCGCGCGTGTTTCGGGTGTTTCGGGACCTTCCTCACATCCACATCAACCGGATGACGTGGATTGGGATCTTGGGAACTTTCTTGACCTGGGGGGAGGATTTGGTCGAAAAGTACGTGGTCTTGCGAACTTTCGCCCTTTTTGGTTTGTCCATGCTTAAACGACGGGCCGTGCAAAACAAATTGAATTGTGCAATTCGGCGCGGCTGGGAGCAGGACTTGAATCCGTGAGACGGTCAGATGATCACAGTCCCAATCGGACAACGACCGTTTGATGATTGCGAAAAGCATCGGCTGCGGGGATGTGTTTTCGCGGCCAGGGTCTTGGCAAGCCGGATCTACCTCGATTTCCCCCACGCTGAATACGCGCCAAGATTCTCGGCGGTCGAAACTGAAATGAGTATTGCTGTTGGATGTGAGGGGGTAAAAAGGATTTTTAGGGTCTATGGAAAAAGAGGGGGCGCGCACTGGAACAAATAGAAGAATGAGAGTATTTATCTTCCCGTCGGCGAAACGTAGACTCCCAGGTTCGGTGCGTGCCTGAGAATCTCGGGGTGGCGTGGGGCGAGCTTATTGCAGGCCTAAAGATGATTCGCACAGTCGGAGAAGAATGACAAAAAGGCATGCGATACAATATGCGCAATGAGCCAACACGGACCCCGTGGCGACGCAAATGAAACTCGCTGTACCTCCATTGTACTGGGCGAAAAAATTCCCGGCATCCAAAATACATGAGTGGACACTCAATCTTCATCCATGTTCACGCATGGGCATGCGTGATCGTGCATGACCAAATATTGTAGGGCGCGAGCCGGATTGTGTGACTGGCAGAGCGGAGGTTGGGGATGTAGTGACAATGGCCGCGGTCAGACATACGGCCGTCTTCAAATCAAGCAAGTCCGCCCAGTATAGATAATGAAAGAGGAGTTATTTTTTTGCTCGACTGTACCCCGCCGATGGGGATTGCTCGTTCAACGCAGAAGTGAGGAAAGGAAAGACGCCTGTGGCTGTGTGATGTGCGGGTGCAGTTGGCTCGGCACACATCATTTCCCACGTTGTCGTCGCCGTCCTTTCAAGTGCTTTCTTGCTCATTCCTGCCACCTATATAGCCAACACCTAGCTCATCGAGACGTATATTCTGTGTCTTACGCGAACTTTGCGGACCTCTCGTTGGTCATTTCTCCATCCCTGAATATTCGATTGTCCTCGTCAACCTGGCCCGCATTTCCCAAGGTCGTCGCAGGCTTCTCATCTCCTTGGACCTGAGTCTGGACCCTCGGTCTTGATCTGTTCGCGCCGGGTCCGTACGCGCGACCATTGGGTATACGTTACCAAATGAATCTGCACCAACAGAAAAGAAACAAAAACTCGTATTATAATACAATCAACGTACTATCTACCTCGGCGCACTAGCGAAAATTCGGTGAACCCTGGCTGTTGTAAGGCCTTTTGTGATTCCCAATTGCTCCCTGGCCTTCATCGAAATAGACGGCATAAAACATTCACTGGTGTCACAGGAATACGGCGCCATTTGGACGACCGTTCAATCACCTTCCTTCAACGGGCTAGGATGTGTCATGACAACATAGAGCGCCAAACTCCAGCAGCTACACCCTGAGGCGGAATCGCCGCATTCTGACCTGAGACTGATGTTCTCTCCAAAAAGATCGACGGTGTGTTGGTTGCATTTTACCCTGACTGTGATCCGTTCGCTCTTAATGATTCGCGGCACACATTCGCCGTAGATATCAACTGCTTCATGCATCAGAGTTGAGTTATACAGTAGCTGGTGTTCATTATTTTATCGAGAACGAGTTGATGCAGCAGACCCGGGTTCGATTCCCAGCGCCCGCATACAGTAGGAGAATTTTTTTTTGCCCCTCGTTCTGTCCAACTTTTTTTGTGCAGCCAAATTTCAACGTATGGAAGAGCAAGCACTCTTCGATGTTGTGGTATGAGATTTTAAGGGACTGTTGAAATTCAAGTACCATTCGGGGATTTGAAGTTCAAATAGGCTCCGACATTCAGGCTTTTTTCTGTAGTTTAGCCAAGGTCATAGAGGGACAAAGAAAGTGGATGTAGTGTATGGTACACAGCTATGATTTCTCCACAAGTTTGATGCAGTAGACCCGGGTTTGATTCCTGGCACCCGCTTTCGCAGAGAGTACCTCTTTTTTTTTTTAAAAAAATGGTCCCCACTCTCCCGCGTGTTCGGTTCGATTTATCCAGCCAATGTAACCAGCATGGTATGGAGCAGTTCAAAGCAACGGTTCAAAATTGACAAAATAACATCAAGTAGATCTGGGCAGACTGAGACCCAACTTAAAATTCCACTTTTGTGTAGTTTAGCCAGCCTCGTATATGAACCAGAAATGCGGGTGTGGTGTATGGAACACTGCTACCATAAATGGCAGTCGACATAATTTCCAATTTATGTAGCAGACCTGGGTTCGAATCCGGGTGCCCGCATAGTAAGACAAACCTCTTGTTTTTTTGAGGGGAGAGGGGTTCTCACTCTCCACTCTTTCTGCTGAGCACCCCATTATCAACACTTTTCAGTAGGCTATGTGTGTGTGTGTGGGGGGCTCTTCGATGTGAGCAGGCTCTTCGAGATTAGATTTGGAATCAGACAAAATAATTTAAAGTGCGAGGGCAGACTCGAACTCAGCATAATTCGATGTTTCTCTATGTAGTCTAGCCAAGTTCGTAGATAGGGAACGTGGGTGTGGTGTAATGGAGCATAGCTGCTGTGATTGAGCTGACAGTCGATATACGCATCGGACCTGGGTTTGATTCCTGGCACCTGCATAATTTGAAAGTCTTCGAATTTTTTTCTCTTTTCTTTTTATGGTTCCTCCTCTCTTCTACTCCCTTTGTTCGATTTATCTATCAAGCCAATTCAACCAATCCTCTCGAGCTGGCTATGGAGAGACTCTATATTCAAGAAAGGCTTGAAATTCATGGTCAAAATAATTTGGACGGCAGACAGACTTGGAATAATTTAGGCTTTTATGCATGCCTTACCCAAGTTCGTAGATAGGCAGAGAGAGTGGGTGTGGTGTATGGAACGCAGCTGTTGTGGCTAAAGCCCTACCCACTTTGTGTAGCAGACCGGGGTTCGATTTCTGGCACGCGCATTCCCGTGGAGAATTTTGACTTTTTTGGCCCCTTGTTCTGTTCAAATTTTTTTTGTCCAGCCACATTCAGTTCAACAGATGGAAGAGCCAGCACTCTTCGATGATGTGGTATGAGATTTTAAGGGACTGTTGAAATTCAAAGGATTTCGGGATTTAGAGGGCAAACTAGGTTCGGAATAATTCGGGCTTTCAGACAAAATAATTTGGAGTGTGAGGCACTCGTACTCACCCGGTATAATTCTTGTGTAACTTAGCCAACCTCGAGAGAAAGCAGGTGTGGTGTATGGAACATAGCTGCTGTGATTAAGGCCCTACTCACTTCGGTGTAACAGACCCGGGTTCGATTCCCGGCACCCGCATGCATTGTTTTTTTTTTCTTTTCTTCTTTTTGCTGCCCTCTGTTCACCCATTTTTCCCGCATTAAATCAATAATTTCAGCACGCTATGGTCAATAAACGGTTGAAGATTGATGTATCGATTGAAATTCAAGACAAAATAATTTGGATGAGGAAAGACTCGGACTCTGCAGAATTACGATTTTTTGAATGGGATAGCCAAGTTTGTATATGGGCAAAGAAAGCGGGTGTGGTGTATGGAACACTGCTACTGTAAATGGCCCAGATTGATACAGGTTCCAATTTATGTAGCTGACCTGGGTTCAAATCCCGGCACCCGCATACGGGAATAGGCCCTCATTTTTGTTTTTGTTTGCCGCCCTCTGTTCACAACCAATATTTTCCAGGAGATTCTGGAGGTGTGCCTCGATCAGATGCTGGAGGATGTTTGAGAGGGTGTTGAAATTCAAGTAGGATTTGGGATTTGGAGAGCAAACTGGGTTCGGAATAATTCAGGATTTCTGTGTATGCCTTCACCAGGTTCGTAGATAGGCAGAGAAAGTGGGTTTGGTGTATGGAAGACTGCTATCATAAATGACAATGCTCATATTGTTCCAATTTATGTAGCAGACCTGGGTTCGATTCCCGGCATCCGCATATCGACCCAGTCTTTTTTTTGCTCCTGCTCAGTCTTTAATTTATATCAATTCAGTCTATGGTTTTCAGCAGCTCTTCAATGTTGTAATGTGCCATGTTCGAGATGGTGTTGACATTGGATTTGGAATTGGGCAAAATAATTCGGAGTGCGAGGGAGACCAGACTCGGAGTGATTCGGGTTCTCTTATTTAGTCTAGCCAAGTTCATAAATAGGCAAGGAAAGCGGGTGTGGCCTATGGAACAAGTTGTAATCATTAGTCGTTATTCCATCTTTGATGTGGCATGACCGAGTTCGATTCTCGGCACCCACATCTAATGTGGTCTACTGTTTTTTTTTTTTTTTTTGGTGGCATCTGCACCGTCTGATCAGCCTTATCCAGACAATTCAACTAAAACACTTTTAGGCCATAGAGGAGCGTTCGTCAACGCCACAGGATTTTGGAATTGGAATTGGATGAAATAATACAGTTTGGAGGCCGGACTAGGCTCAGCGTAATTCGGGTTTTTCTTATGTAGTAGCCAAGGTCGTAGATGGGCAGAGAAGTGGGTGTGGTGTATGGTACACGCTGCCATTAATATTGTAGTCATTGGATTGATGCAGCAGACCCGGGTTCGATTCCTGGCACCTGCATTTGCAGGTAGCGATCTCTTTTTTTGTTTTGTTTTTTTGGCTGCCCTCACTCTGTTCAGCCTTCTTTTCCAGTCTATGGTTTTCAGCAGGCTATGGAGGTTGCTTATTGATGCTGGAGGATTTTTGAGAGGGTGTTGGCATTGGAATTGGAATCCAAATTGGACAGAATAATTTGAAGTGCGAGGGCGGACTTCAACTCGGAATAATATTCCCACTTTCTGTGTATGCCTTAGCTAAGTTTGTAGATAGAAAGAGAAAGTGAGTGTGGTGTATGGTACACAGATGTCACCATTGTAACGGCAATTTGATGTGATGCAGCAGACCCGGGTTCGATTCCCGGCACCCGCGTATTTTTGAAACCTTTTTCCCCCTCCTTTTTATATTTTTGCTCCCTGCCCTCTAGTCAGCAGCCAATTCAGTCTATGGTTGTGGAAGATGGTTCTTGGATGTTGTGACATGTCATGTTCGAGACGGCGTTGAAATTGGAATCGGAATTGGGCCAAATAATTTGGATTGTGAGGCAGACACAGATTCGGAATAATTCCGTTTTTTATGCAAGCCTTCACCAGGTTCATAGATGGAAAGGGAAGCGGGTGTGGTGTATGGAACATAGTTGCAGGCAGTAACCTGAGCTACATAATCTCATGCAGCTAAGCCAGGTTCGATTCCCGGCACCCGCATTTACAGTTTCAAGTCTTGTTTTTTTTGCCTCTTGGGCCTTTTCTCAGAGCGTACATCACATTTTTTATTTACTTAACTTGAATGAGGTTGGAAGGATGGAGGGAATTCTTGATATTTGATGCTTTGATACTTACTTGACTCGGACGTGGGTGAGATTGATCCTAGCAATGGGCGTGGGTGGATCAAAGGTGTGCGGCGAGAAGACAAAGAACGTGCCCTGTTATCTGCTGTTCATCAATCCAACTGTCTACCAAAAGAAAAAAGAGTTTGAGAATATATGGACCGAAGCCACAGAAGATCAAGGACGCGGAAAGGATCCGTTAGATGGTGGTATGAATAAATGTATTAATTATACGGCATTCCGCCAACAACAGGCTCCGAGACCAGAACCGAAGACGATAGCGGGAGTATTCTCCATGTGAGTCGCGATGCCCCAGATGGGTGATACTGATCGACTTGTATCTGACTGTGCCTTGTCTGCGTGACAGTGTGATCTGTGACGTGACCCCCACCTCTCTTGTGTGTATGGAGACAGGGAACGACTCGCCGCCTCTGCGCACAACAATCTTCGGCTCCTTCCTCGGCCGCGGCCGTCCCGCAACTCTTCCCAATCCCACATCGACATCCCCCGCGAGCTCTCCCGTCTCCGCCCCACGCCAACGCAAATGCACAGACTCACCAACCCACCTCACCGAATCCGTACACTATGATCGTGCAAGGCGGAGGCGGACCCGGCGAGGTGCACCAGGACGGAGTCACAGGGGGTGCGCTGCACCGTCCCCAACGACGAACCCGCCCTCCATGACCCCGCGGGCCTGAGTCTGGGGCACATGCTCCGAAGACGACGTAGCGCTGGGAACATCCGCAGCAGCAGCAGGGCCACACGGGCCCGCGCCAATGGTCCGCCGATGCCGAGTGGGCGCGCGCCGGCACCGATGAGTGCGGCGATTGCGAGTGGCCTTGTAGCTGCCAATGGGAACGCCAACACAAATGCAAGCACCAATACGAATGGAGGAGGAGGCGGTGGAAACGGCCCGTCGCACCGCATCCGCCTCGTCCCACACCTCGACTCCCGGTGCAGCCTCCGCTTCGACGCCATCTCGCGTGACCTCTGCGCAGGCGAGCCCGCCCTGCGCATCGGGCGCTTCACGGACAGGTCGGGCCTGGGGCTGGCGGCGGTGAATGCGCTGAGCACGAACAAGATTGCCTTCAAGAGCAAGGTTGTGAGCCGCGTGCATGCGGAGGTGTGGATCGAGGATCCTGGTGCAAGCGGGGAGGCGCACCGAAGTTCTTCATATGGGACACGAAGAGCAGTAGCGGGACGTTTCTGAACCATGTGCGGCTCAGTGCGGCGAATACGGAGAGGTATGTGTCTTTCCGCCAACGGAGGAAATTGTGCTGATTTTTCTTTCCTATTTCCTTTCTTTTATTACTTTGCTTTGTGGGCGCTCTCTCCCTCATCCCTCTCTCCTCCCTCCTCCCGTTCCTCTCCATCTCCCATCTTGCGATTCCGCCCCAAACTCCATCGACGCCACACCATCTCGCACTCTCGCATCTGTCTTTTGTCTTTCACATCCATCTCGCATGATCTGCTGATGATCCTTCCGTTCCCTTGCCTTCCGTCCTTGCCCTTCCTTCCTCCTTCACCTCCCTTTTCCCCTCCTCATTTTCATTATTACATTACGCACCGCACAGCTGCCCCCACCAAATCAAAGACGGCAATGCTACCTCACTTCAAAGATTCACATTCTCCTTGCGTATATTGTGAGTAAGATATTATTACAGCCAATGTCAGTAGCGAAGGCGCGAATCAGAAAATTGCTGCTTTGGGCATTTTCTGATGTCCGCAACCGATTTGCCCATATCTCGGTGGGTTCTGCACAGATTGCCTTGAAAATCAGCCAGATAACTCGGGCTAATTCAGCCGCTATTAGTGATAGAGACAAAGTTGCAAAAATATCCTATACTCAGTGAAATGGGTCTTGCGGTCATTTAGGGAGTCACTTCGGTCTACCGGCATCTAGGCATGTTGAAATGACCCCGGGGCAGCATTCGACAAGGGAGAGGAAGGGCACGGGGTGGGTGCCGACCATGTAGATCTCTTCGAGCGTGGGAAGCTCGAGTTAGTTCAGGAACGACTGCGAGCTGACATAGAGGCAGCGGAGATGAGCGAGGCGGATGAGAGGGAGACCGTTGTCGGGAGGATCATTGGTGAAGTCGAGGCTCGCCATCTCAAGATGAGCGGTGGTCTGCAAAGTATCCACGATAGTGCGGTATCTTGTTGCCATCTTGAGACGGGTCAGTTGGCGGAATGGAAGCACAATCGCGTGCGGTAGTCCGGAGAGATCTTCAAGAGTTACATCATGCAATTCAGGCGCGATCTCGAAAGGGTCGGCTTGTGCCTGGGATACAGAATTGTCCCGGTAAGTTTTGGCAACGTCGATGCGCAAATAACGGAGGAGGGGAATACGGCCCTGTATCGGAGCAAGGAGAGACCAATGGGCCGGCTTTATTGATAGACTCGCACTGGTCCATCGAGGAGCAGAATGGACAAGGATTTGGAGGAACTCTGTGGCGTTGGAGTCGGATTCGAAAGGTGAAGACCAAAGGAGAACTTTCAGGGGGGAGTTAAACGAGCGGGCAAGTAGCATTGCAGTACCCTAGGCTGGTTTGAGTTTAAACCACATCGTCTCCAACGATGGCCTGGTTTAAACCACCTCCTATAATCATATAGGGAGCAGGCTTTGGTTTGAACCACAGTGGTTTAAACCGGTTCAAGCCATGGTTTAAACCATTGTGGTCTGAATGTGGTTTGAAATTATCGGGTTTAAACCAGTTCAAACCAGATGGCTTAAACCAGTTCAAACCAGATGGTTTAAACTGGTTTGAACCAAAGTTGTTTGGACATGTGTTTTTTTTTTTTGTCTTGACTCTCATTTTTTCCTCCTCTCTTAATATTAGTGACTGCCCGCCCGACTCTTCCAAAAAAGGAAATTCATATCGTTTGGACTCAAAAAACACAGAAAATTTGTGAATAATTGGGAAATTTGTTCAAGGCACGAATAGATTGGTAGATGGCACCTACCAAAAATGGAAATCCATCAAAAATGAAAGTTGTAGCCCTCATTGAGCACTACAAGGTTGACCATTGACCATGGTGATCAGCTCACTGGTTGGGCCGAAAAAGGCAATATACTTTCAAAAACACGGTTTGTTTTAGGGAATGATTGGGCCATATCTCAGTAATTGCTGGACGGATTCCCACGATTCTAGTACCGTTAGAAAGCGGCTGAACAGGACTTTCAGATGGGGCCACTCACCAGGCATTCTACACCACTTCTATAATCAGCTATTTTTATTTTTTTAGAATGAT